TTGGAGCCCAAATCCCACCAGACTTCAAAGTAAGTTCATTATTTTTGTATGTAAAAAAAAACTAACAGATTTTTTAGTTATACTTTAAGGGCAAACAATTTTGACATGTAATTATGTGTAATTTTATAGTAGAAAAGTAAAAAAAAAGTCATTTTTGTTTTTTAAATGATAACACACTTACTGTGATTGTAGTTTTCGTTTGACTGTTAGATTCATTGCATACTTACAAGTTGAAATTAAATTTACATTTAAGATCAAATATTTATTTAATCCCCTATAATGTTCTTTTTGAAAGAATGCTTGATTGACTCATCTAAGATTTAACAAACTGAATATGTAACTTGATTTTAAGACTACAAGAAGTTTCCCATACAGTACATTAAATCGCCATGGAAACCAGAGTGCTCTGAATCCCTCAACATTACCTGACAGGAGATTTCTGAATAATTCATGAACTGCTGATGCCCTTTTACAATAATCATGGTTGCCATGTTTCAATCAGAGGTCACGGCCGCAGTGTGGTTGGATGTGACTCTAAGAATGCATTTTAGTTGACCGCAGTCCAATCCACAGGGAAGCTCCATGATTTATGCATGGTTGTATCCCTTCCACTGGCTGCAATAACTCTGAATATAATTGAACCATAAGAGCTTATTAATAAAATAAAGAAATTAAATGTTTTAGTTCTTCCAGTACATTATATGAACTTTAATATCATAATTTATTATCACCAAAGTTAAAAGTTTAAATCAATTGAGTCTTTTTCTCCATGCCATTTGAAAAAGCAATTTGTTTCTAAAAGCATAGACTCACTCTGCCATCGCTGCCAGTGATCTCTCAGTTTTTGTTGCTTAACTATGTATTTTTTCCCTCCTCAATTCAGGTTTCTCATGATTTTGCTGTGAATTTTGATGAGGACAACCCAGAATGTGCTGGTGAGTCATCAAAGTGTAAACGTCACACCTTTGCAAGCATTTTTGTTTTTCTAAAAGAAAGTTAAATGAAATGCAGTGCATTCCTACTGTATGAGTCAAACATCTCCCACATACACTCGGTGGCAAACAGAAGCATAAACTATGAACTTCTTAACTGATGCTCATGCATTTAAATGAGGCTGTGCTCTGCTTTAAATGAGCAAATGCATTAACAAACAAGCACCCCATTCAACCTCTAGGTCAAAGGTCATGTTTTAATCTGACATTTTAAGGGTCAGTAAATATAAATGACCACCATTGTAAAAAAAATATGACATCCATTCAATGTCACATTACAGAACAGATAATTGGTCAGTGCAGAAAATAAAATAAAACACATCTAAACTTTTTAAGACTTGAAACCATTTAAGACTTGTTTTTAGAGAATATGCTTTTTTTTCAGCATCATTGTTTTATGCTTAAAAAATAATTCCAAAATTTAGTGAGGTATAAAATTTACTTCATTCAAGATGTTTGAAAACAAGTCAGTGTATTGACCTGATGGGCTATGTGTGTTTTGCAGGTATACAAGGTGTTGTTGAGGCTTATCAGAACTGCCTCCCGAAAATCCAGTTGTACGGCCCCACTAATATTGCTCCCATCATCCAGAAAGTTGCCGACTCTGCCTCTGAGGAGATGCATACCAAAGAGGCCATGGTTAGTCAGAGAGAGAGAGAGAGAGAGAGAGAGAGAGAGAGAGAGAG